TGCAGCTACTAGGACCCAGAGTAGGCCCTTATTCCCGTTTTTTTAAGGTTTCGGTTTTTTTGCACCCTTTAGCTCAAAAAGGGCACCCTTTTTATTCCTAGGTTACTCTTGGGTCTAGGCTATCTGACTAGAGTTAGAGAATTCGTAGCAGCACTGAGCTTTCCGTCCTTGAGAGGTTTGAGATGGGGTACCTGACCCTTTCCTTGGAGGCCTTTTTGACTTAGTAAGTCTACTTAGTATCCCCTAGAAACCCTATTATAATCCCCATAACCCACCTTACTAACCCTACTTACTAAGTCAAAAGGGCCTCCAAGTCAGGCTTTGTGCCCACCGGGTCCTAAGTACCTATATGGGGAAGACTTACCTAATTCCTACTACAGAAGCCTCGTTTTGTACTATATCCTTGTAGTAGAGTAGGTAACCTTTAACCTTTTTTGGGTAGTATAGTCCCTGTATAATCCCTATATAAGCAAAAAGGTTAACCATCAGTTCCCCATGATACCCCTAAACCCTAAACCCTATTGTTTTGTACTATATAGGTACTTCGGACCCTCTGAGATGGTGGAGGGTTTGGTAACCAAAGGGGGGCCCTGAGGCCAAGTAACTTAGATCGTGAACGGGGAAACTGTAAACTTTTTGGCCTAGTATATGAGCTCTATCGTTTGACCTTTTTGGGGCCCGGTTGTTGAAGAAGAGAGGTAAATCGAGAATACTCCCATCTTCCGGGTTCATGTCTAGTTCTTTTTAACGGGTTCCTGTACACTGTAAAGTGTTGCTATTAGGGGTTGCTACGGGGGGTCGGGGTTCAGGGGCCTGAATGATTGGGAGTTTGGGGTCTTTTTAATGGTCACATTTACAGGTATGGTCTCTGAGTATCTTAGCTGGAACACAAACACGCATGATAATAATGGGTGATGTATTTGTTCCCTTTGTTCCCTGGACCCTACCTGCCACTAATCGTGAAACTTCAGCAGACGGAGTGTGGAGCTGTATGACCCCATGACCGTTTGCTCTTACAGAAGCATTGTTGGAGTGTACGGGGAAGCAGATTGCATAGAGCTTTGGGTTTGAGCTTTATCGTTTGAGTACGCCAGAGTTAGACTGTGATGTAGGGGCCTGAATAATTACCTATACTATTCTGGGGTTCCTTGTTATAAATAGAGTTTCAGGGGCCCCAACACCCTATTCTAATTCAGGCCCCTATATTAAGCTTGCAGCAAGGACCCAATTATCCCAATACCCCTTAATTAAGGATTCGACCTGAAATAATAGGGGGTTAGAGATTATGATTTAAGGTATATTCCTTAATTAAGGGGTATTGGGTTCTCTGGGGCTTGCCAACTTGAGAACTCCTTTGGTCCCTAAACCTGAGACGAAAAAGGCGTGCGCATCGGCATGCTCAATTATTTAACCCGGTGCATGGCTCCCAAAGGGAGCACGCAGGTCCGCGACATGGCATGAGAGTTTCCGAAAATTAGGGGCACCGGGGTACCTTATATTGGGGGTCCTCATAATAAAGATCCTACTATTCAGGGAGCTATATCAGGGTCCCCCACCTTGAGGCGAGACAGTCCCGTTCCGGAGGGTTTGGGGTTTTTAGGGTTAAGGGTTAAGGGCTTAGGGGTTTGGGGCTTAGGGGATTAGGGGTTTAGGGCTTAGGGGTTTAGGGTTTAGGGCTTCAGGGCTTAGGGTTTGGGGTTTAGGGGTTTAGGGTTTAGTGGTTTTCTTTAGGGTTTAGGGTTTTAGGGTTTTAGGGTTTAGGATTGAGGGTATGTTTCGGGATTAGAGCGGAGCAAAAGAGTGCAGTTGAAGAAGAAGAAGACAGGCAATCTAGCGGTTCCCTTGTCAATGTTCATTCACTAAAGCCCAAGTCTTAGGCAAAAGGAACCAGGAGTATGGCTGTGCAGCCTCAGGCTTTTCGGGTTTAGGGTTTAGGCCTTGGGATTTTCATCGAAGGGTCTGAGGGGTATTGGATTGACGCTTGAGAGTTTGAGGAAACCGCAAAGCGTCCAAAGGACGCAATAAGTAAGTAGGTACTTGGGTTTAGGGTAGTAGTTATGTAGCAAAACATTGAGGAGAGTATATGTTTATGAGGTACCATTATTGATAGGGCCATGAACCCATGTCCCAGATTCCCACACGCAGCGGCATGGTAGAGACCCTTCGAAGTATCTGAGCACTGGCGCTCTTGCAAAAAGACTAGCTGACACTAGCTAAGCCCACAAGTTCCTTTAGCGGCTCCTTATGCGGAGCTGAGGGTTTAAGGTTTAGGGTTTAGGGTAGTAGTCTCGCTTTACTGTCTTCAACTGCCTTCAAGGGAGGGTTTCGGGCCCGAAGCGCCAAAAGCCTTAACCCCGAAGACCCTTCGCAGCGTTTCATAAGTTCTAGGTTCCTGAGTAGTACCCTTTTGCCCCTTTAGTTTAAGGGGAAACAGGAAACAGGGTACCCCTATGATAAAGAGGCTACTCAGGAACCTAGAGTTCGCAACAACGGTTTAGGGTTTAGGCTTTAGGGTTTAGGGTAAACTCCCTCATTAATAGAATCTTGTATTGAATTCTTCAAGCCTTGAACCACGAAGGAACCCTAAACCCGGAACCCCTGAACCCCGAAACCCTAGAACCCTAGAACCCTAAACCCCTAAACCAGAAGCCCTGAACCTAAATCCGAAACCTTCAACCCGAAACCCGCAATCCCGGAGGAGCTTTGTGGAGAGCCAGCAGTCAGCACGTCTTACAAAAAGCAGAGCCCTCATCCCTGAACCCTTAGCCACAGGCTCCGTAGTAGTTCCTGTTTGGGATTACCTTGCAGGGTCTAAATATCAAACCCAAAAAAGAGCTACTATGGAGTCTACGGGTAGCCGGTTCTGATTCCCAAGCCCTTCTCCGCATTTAGTCCCTGACCTTGGATACTGTTCCACTCTGTAACAGTTGGATAGTACTGAAAGTAACATACAACATATATATATATATATATATATATATGTATATTTCCCGCAATATGACCCCCGATATACCCCGCTACAGGGTGGGGGGCAGTCCGCCAGATTGGAATACCCAAGCCCTAAGCCTAAACCCTTAAGCGCATTTAATCCCTAAACCCTTAAACCCCACACCCTATGGTACCCTTATAGAGCCCTTTAAAGGAACCTGTATAATCCCCCTTTAAAAGGAGCCACTTCTAAGACCCCAAACGCCTAAACCCGCCATGGGCTGCTAAGATCTGGCGATCGGTGAGTTTGCCAGGCTCGTGGGGTCAATTACTTATTGGCTGTAAACTAAACTTTTCAACTTTTGGGGTTCTTATAAGGTAATCGATTCTGAAAGTTTCAACTTTTATTCCCTTGAGTTTGGGGCCAGGGAGATTAAAAGACCATGCGATCTACTAAAGCAGAGGGCCCTGTAAAGGTTCTAGACAGGGATCTGCAACAGGATCTACAAGGGTCTGGAGTTGACAAGTGATCGTGGATCTGTAAAGAAGGGAAAAAGCTAAGTTGAGGTGTAATTGCAGTTTGCCCCAATTAAGAGCTTCTAACCTTGCTTGGTTCACGGCTGTGGTTTTTGTTGGTTTCGAGTTTGGGACGCTTGAAGCTTTTCTTTTGGATTCTTATAACATTTGTAGATTTCCACTTCTATAACGAATTGCATTTAATGTGGGTTTATAGTCGTCTTTCAATCAGGGCCCGGGAACAGGGTGGCTGGGCATGTTACAGTGCAGTAGTACTGCACTACAAACTTTAAGAACTTCATTGCGGGGCTGCTTGGGTTTCGGATTTCGCTTGCTTCAATGAGGTTTTGTAGATTTAGGCTTGTTTGATTTCAAGAGTTTGGATATCAACTATGTCTGGAGTTTAGGATTTGGGTTGTTAGGCTTAGGTGGGTTTACGGTGTTGGTTATCGGTGACTTTTTTCATGTTGGGTGTTGGAACTCCGATTAAGCAAGACAGCAACTCTATAAGGCCCAAACCTCAAATGCCGCCCTTCAGGTGGAAGGCGATCACCCCAAACCCTACAGTAGAAGCCATAAAGCTGGAACGTAGCTTTAGGAGGATTAGTGCTATAGGATTCCTTATGCTTGACCTTACGGACATGAGGACCATAATGCTCCAACTTTCTAGCTCCTACTACTTGGGGGCCCTTTTGACTTAGTAAGTCTACTTAGTATCCCCTAGAAACCCTATTATAATCCCCATAGCCCACCTTACTAACCCTGCTTACTAAGTCAAAAGGGCCTCCAAGTATAGACCCTCTTGTAGCAGTTCATAGGACGTAGTCTATCTCAGGGCTGGCCCAGACCTTCCAACATCCCTTAATTAAGAAATATACCTTAAAATCATATTAGGGATCCTCTTATAATTGAAGGTATATTCCTTAATTGAGGGATTTTGGAAGGTCCTGGTGGGCCCCAAACCCTTTTGATCCCTTAAAGGAGCCCTTATAGTACCCTTTAAAGGAAGTCGAGGAACCCTAGAGGTCTGCGGGGGTCCACGAGCCTCCAGCCGATACCGAGTTCCCGTACTTAAAGGATCATGGGACGTAGTAAGTAAGGTTATAAGTACCTTAATTGAGCTTATAAGTATAGTTACCCTAATTATAACCCCAGTTACTAAGTCCCATGATCCTTTAAGTAGTGTACACAAGCCTTCCAACAACCCGTGAATTATGGAAGAGACCTTGAGTTTAGGGACCCGAAAAGCACATAAGCATAAGCATTTCATAGGGATATCCCTACCTTATTGGGGTTCTTTATAAGGGGGTTTATATGGGAGGAAGAGAGCTTGAGTCATTCTAAGTTATCCAAGGATCCTGCTACGTACAACTTAGGGTATATTCTTGAAGTACTGGAGTTTTTGAAGGTGTTAGTACCAGTAGTGTAATTTCATAAATTGAAGCAGAGTTCGAATCTTGCGAGAGGCTATAGACTCCGAGTCCATGTCAGAAGGTTTATGGACTCAAGGTGCCAAGTCTTGCTGATTCGGCAACCTCGTACATGCCGAGCCGCAGATGCTGCGTGTTCGTTCAGTGTCTGGGGACGTTCTTGTCACGATCGAGCTGGCGAGCTTCCTGAACACGCTTGCTGCAGAGAGCCATCCCGTCCGGGCACTGAAGCAACACTTGTGCAAGTTCTGCGGGCAGCCAAGATTCAGGCAGCGGCTGGTAGTGTTGGAAGATGGCATCGCATTGAATGACAATGACGAGCACATCTTGAAAGCAGGCGATGTCCAGCTCGTGCTTTTGAAATTGAGTTTAGCATCCGTTGTGCAGACAGAAGAGCTTCGGCGTGCTGCGGAAAGAGGTCTGATATCGGTCGTGGAGACGATTCTGCAACAGCCACAAGACCCAGATTTGGGCGATCCAGCCCCATTGCTCATCGCATCCCAGCACGGCCACTTGGAGGTGGCATGCCTGTTGCTGGAGGCCCGGGCTGACAAGGACAAGGCGAATAATATTGGCGCCAGCCCCTTGGTCATTGCTGCTGCGAATGGGCATTTGGAGGTTGCACGTTGTTTGCTGGAGGCCAGCGCAGACAAGGAGAAGGCTACGGATGTTGGCGCCACCCCATTGTTCATGGCGGCTCAAAATGGGCATTTGGAGGTTGCACTCCTGCTGCTGGACGCCAACGCAGACAAGGACAAGGCCATGAATAGTGGCGCCACTCCGTTGTTCATGGCAGCTCAGAAGGGAGAATTACAGGTTGCACGTTGTTTGCTGGCGGCCAAAGCCGACAAGGACAAAGCCACGGCTCGTGGCGCTACCCCTTTGTTCATCGCAGCTCAAAAGGGAGAATTACCGGTTGCACGTTGTTTGCTGGAGGTCAACGCAGACAAGGACAAGGCCAGGAATGATGGCGCCACTCCGTTGTTCATGGCAGCTCAGAATGCCCAATTGGAGGTTGCACGTTGCTTGCTGGAGGCCAACGCAGACAAGGAGAAGGCCATGAATAGTGGCGCCACCCCTTTGTTCGTGGCGGCTCAGAAGGGAGAATTACAGGTTGCACGTTGTTTGCTGGCGGCCAAAGCCGACAAGGACAAAGCCACGGCTAGTGGCGCTACCCCTTTGTTCATCGCAGCTCAGAAGGGAGAATTACCGGTTGCACGTTGTTTGCTGGAGGTCAACGCAGACAAGGACAAGGCCGTGAATGATGGCGCCACCCCTTTGTTCGTGGCGGCTCAGAATGCCCAATTGGAGGTTGCACGCTTTTTGCTGGAGGCCAATGCAGACAAGGACAAGGCCATGAACAGTGGCGCCACCCCTTTGTTCGTGGCGGCTCAGAAGGGCGAATTACAGGTTGCACGTTGTTTGCTGGCGGCCAAAGCCGACAAGGACAAAGCCACGGCTAGTGGCGCTACCCCTTTGTTCATCGCAGCTCAGAAGGGACAATTACCGGTTGCACGTTGTTTGCTGGAGGTCAACGCAGACAAGGACAAGGCCGTGAATGATGGCGCCACCCCTTTGTTCGTGGCGGCTCAGAATGCCCAATTGGAGGTTGCACGCCTTTTGCTGGAGGCCAATGCAGACAAGGACAAGGCCATGAATGATGGTGCCACCCCTTTGTTCGTGGCGGCTCAGAATGCACAGTTGGAGGTTGCACGCCTTTTATTAGAGGCCAACGCAGACAAGGACAAGGCCAGGAATGATGGCGCCACTCCGTTGTTCATGGCAGCTCAGAAGGGAGAATTACAGGTTGCACGTTGTTTGCTGGCGGCCAAAGCCGACAAGGACAAAGCCGCGGCTAGCGGCGCTACCCCTTTGTTCATCGCAGCTCAGAAGGGACAATTACAGGTTGCACATTGTTTGCTGGAGGCCAGGGCAGACAAGGACAAGGCCATGTACCACGGCGCCACCACCGGGGCGTGTGGAAGTCGCACGCCTTTTCTTGGAGTCCAAGGCGGGCAAGAACAATGTAACAAACAAAGGCGAAACCCCCTTGTTCGTTGCCACCCAGGAAGGACACTTGGAGGTTGCGCAAGTGTTGCGATGTTGCTCACCTCTTGCTGGATGCTAGTGCGCAAAGGGCAAAGCCATAATCAATTCCCCCGCCGGGGCCCACTGGGTGCAATGCACAGGCAAAGCCTTTGGAGGGTGTGCACAGATGGCAGCAGGCCGACATGGACCGACCTCTCACCCTAATTATATATTCGTTGAGCCACGTAGCTGCAGGTGTGGTGTATGCAACACATCGAGACACTGCAATCGGCAAGATGGCGAAAAGACGCACGTATCCCGAGCGAAGAGCATTGTGGGAAGTGCTTTACAAACTTTGGCGGGTTCTGTTTGGTCCTCGACCGTCGTGAGGCGGGTGGAAGTTGACTCAATGAGCAGGGGTTCAGTTTTCCAACAAGATTTCTACAGTTCAAGAGTGCTTAGGGTTGTGGGTTTCAGGCGTAAGCCCTAAGCCTCCAGGCCATAAAGCCTGAAGGCTAAACCTCGAAACATGACACCCGAACGCCCTAGACCCAAAACCCTCTACAAAAGGGCCTAAATAATTACCAATACTTTTTTTTGGCGGGGTTCCTTATTATAATTATAGTATAATGGGCCTCGAAACCCTATTCTAAATGTTTAGGCCCCTATATTGGGGTTCATTGTGCAGTCGTCAGGACTTGGAGTTAGGGGTTCAAGGTTTAGGGTTGAGTCCTTTGGGTTCAGTCTTCAAGGTTCCGGGTAGTCCCCGACCTCAGGGACGACACGTACCATGTGAGAGGCTCAGTAGCGCGTAGGGCCAGGGTTTAGGGAGATTCATTGTACTCATGTTACAGATCCTCAGTATTGGCTTGCAGGGCCCCTACTGTTCGAAGGCACTTGGTCTCTTAGACAAGACCCGATATTCGCTCTTCCTCGGAACCCTTGGAAAGTTCTACCTCGTAGTAGAGGAGGTAACCTTTAACCTTTTTGGGGTACTATAATCTGGGTTGTGATTTGGGGTGATTTTAATTTCACGTATTTCCTTATAAAGGTGACCTACTCATCAATAATTTTCAAAGGGTTTCAAGCACAACCCAGTAATCTTTGTCACAGTTGGGTAACATTTTACCTTTTTACGGGCACTTGAGCCCGATAAGGAAGGACACTTTAAATTCTTAATACTCCCAAAGGCTCCATGTACCCTTGTAGTGGATACTTAAGCCTTAAAGGGGTCCCTATATAGGTACTTCAAGGCCTAAGTATATACTATATGGGTACATTGTTACATGGATCCTTGGGGACTATCCCAATGCCTGGCTTCCGAGAACCTCAACTCTACAGCCCTCAGAGCTTTGAACTCTAGGGTTTAGGGTTTAGGGAACCCTTACAACAGTATATGGCTCTTGGTTGCATGCGTATACAGGACTCATACAACCTCTAGGTTCCTGAGTGGTACCCTTTTGCCCTTTTTCTTTTTGGGTTCCCTTCTTAAACCTAGATATTAGGAAAAAGGGTAGCCTTATTATTAAAAGGTTACTCAGGAACCTAGACCTTGTACATCAGCACGGAAACCCCAAAGCCTTGATGTAAGCCCCTGAAGAGTAAGGTTTAGGGTTTAGGGTTTAGGGTTTATAGTCCCCTGCATGGGTTATAGTACTTGGAGGCCCTTTTGACTTAGTAAGTAGGGTTAGTAAGGTGGGTTATGGGATTATAATGGGGTTTCTAGGGGATACTAAGTAGACTTACTAAGTCAAAAGGGCCTCCAAGTAGGGATCCTGGTATTGACGCCAGGCGGTTGAGTTTGTTAATCACGGGTCTACATCCCAAGCCGTTGGGCCGGGCACTGAACTCTAAACCTTAAACCCTACACCCCAAACCCTGCTCCCTAAACCGTAAACCTTAAGCCCTACACCTTGCACCCTACACCCAAAACGTTGAACCTTAAGCCCTACACCCTGAACCCTTACAACCTGAACTTAGTCCTTTAGGATTCCTCGTCATTCCTTCCTTGATGTGGGTCCTCACATAGGCGAGTGTGGGAAAGCCTTCCGCAGGAAAAGCACGAAGTTGGAAGATCCGGTTCCGGACCACCCAGACCCTCCAAAATCCCATAACTAAGGAATATTAATTCATATTAGCGATCCGATTATAACTTCAGGTATATTCCTTAATCAAGGGATTTTGGAAGGTCTGGGCAACCGCTCCACTTCCCAGCTTCCAACTTTTTCGGCCTTCACAGTAGACCCTTAACTCTAAGCCCTACCTTAAACTACCATAACCTGCTTGTTTTGTAGGTTCCAACTATGAACCCTGCTATAGAATTACTAGAGACCCTACAATATAGTGGGTTTTGGTAGACCCTGAACCCTAAACTTTAAGCCCAAACCGTAAACCTTAAATCCTAAGCCCCACACCCTCAACCCTGAAGAACCTACCTTGTTAAGGACTTATATAAGGAAATCATAGCAAGGAACCCGAAAAAGGTAGGTTCTTTAGGGTCGAGGTACACCCGTAACCCTATGCCCTGGACCCCCTAAACCCCGGTGGATCCCTTGATGGAGCCCTTGGAGATCCCTTAAAGGAACCCTCATAGTACCCTTAAAGGAACCCTTATAGTACCCTTCAAAGGAACACTATGCCCTACTTGGAGGGTCGGGGGACTGAGTAAGTAGGTAGTAGATAAATAGACTTATAAGTACCCTAAAAGGGATCCTAATTGGGGTTATGGTACTTAGAAGTCCTTAAAATAACCAGTTACTAAGTCCCCCGACCCTCCAAGTACCCTGATTTTACATTCTCAAAGGGGAAAAGGAGGGACCGTTAATGGGGACCCCTAGCTATATTAAGGGTATATACCTAGGGGTCCTTATTAAGGGTCCCTCCTTTTACCCTCGGACCTTCTGACCCAGGCAGCCTCGATGTTCCTGTCGAGGCAGCTCCTGGGGCCCCCGAAAGCGCCCAGGCTCCGGCGAGAAATACTTGGAGTAGGGCTCCTTTAAAGGGCTGCTTAAAGGGATCTCTAGGGGTTCCTTAAAGGGATCTATAGGGTTTAGGGTTTAGGGTCTACTTGGAGTAGGGTTCCTTTAAAGGGCTCCTTAAAGGGATCTGTAGGGGTTCCTTAAAGGGATCTATAGGGTTTAGGGTGGGTCTACTTGGAGTAGGGTTCCTGTAAAGGGCTCCTTAAAGGGATCTATAGGGGTTCCTTAAAGGGATCTACAGGGTTTAGGGTTTATAGGGCCTACTTGGAGGATCATGGGACTTAGTAAGTATAGGGGCCTAAATAAATAGAATAGGGCTTGGGCTCCTTTAAAGGGTTCCTTGTAAAGGGGTGTATGTATAATGAGGGTTCCTATAAGGGCTTTATATAGGGGGTTACATAATCGCCCAGGCTTGGGCTAGGATGCTTTCAAGGTTTAAGGGTCCTTAGGGTTTGAGGGCTTTCAGAGTTTAGGGTTTTTAGGATTCAAGGGTTCAGGGTTTAGGGCTCTTAGTTTTTCAGGGTTCGGGGTTTCGGGCTCTTAGGGTTTCAGGGCTGTTAGGGTTTAGGATGGTTTAGGGTTCTTATAGGTTTATGGGTTCAGGGTTTAGGGCGCTTAGGGTTTGGGGTTTCGGGTTTAGGGTTTGGAAGCCTGAAAAGGCTGTCCTGCCATTGTTTAGGGTTTAGGGTTTAGGGTTTAAGCCGTCCGTAAACCCGTAAATCTTGCAGCGCTAGAGCCATAAAAACTGAATCAACTAAACCAAAACTGATGTTCTGCCTCGGCATTTCCTCAGATAGTATTCCTACCCCGTTGAGGGTCCATGTGTCCACATAGTCTAAACTTAGCCCTTCAAGGCATACTTGGAGGGTCATGGGACTTAGTAAGTAAGTAGGCTTTTAAGTACCTTAACTGGGGTTATAAGTAGTTATAAGTATGGTTACCCTAATTATAACCCCAGTTACTAAGTCCCATCATCCTTGAAGTAGCCAAAGTATATACTGTGTGCGCACATGGACCCTTAAAGAACGTTGCGCATCGCGTCGTGCCTTTTGTATTTTGGAGACGGCGGTGTTCTCACTGCTGACTCTTCAGTTTTCGAGGTTGAGGGTTTCGGGTGGGGGTAGGGTTTCGTTGTTATTTCTTCGGGGTACTTAGAATAAATATGTTTTTTGTTTTTTCTAATCCCCAAGAAACAGCTAAAATCATAATTTTTGCTAGGGTTCTAAGTTCAGTCTAGATTTGAGGAATGTAGCTTGGTTGAGACGTACTAGCAAAAGGCTCTTCGGCAAGTTCGGCTCGCTTCTCGCAGTGGAGTGGGGAGATATTCCCAGAGAGCCCAATACCCCTTAATTAAGGAATGTAGCTTAAATCATAATATGAAGCCCCTTAAAATTTAAGACATATTCCTTAATTTAGGGGTATTGGGCTCTCTGGGTTGGGGCAATGTAAGGTTCAGGGCCTACAATCTGCAGCTTGAGATTAAGAGCTCCGAGGCCTTGGGCTTAGAAAGTTCCGGACATTTTGTGGGGGGTACTTAGAAATAATTTTTGATTTTTGATTATTATAACCCCTAAGAAACAGCTAGAATTATAATTTTTGCTAGGGTTCTAAGTTCAGTATAGATTTTGTGGGGGTGCATTTCGTCCAGGTGGTTGGGTCGAGGCTGTAAACCCAAACCTTAAGACCTAGCGCTTAACCCTGAAACCTTAAACCCTGAACCCCTAAACCCCTAAACCCTTAAATGAAAGCCTACAGTAGAAGCCAGAAAGTTGGAGCATGATTATCCTCATTCCCTTAAGGTAAAGTAGAGAGAATCCCAGCACCAATGGTCCAAAGTCCATGTTCCAACTTTCTGGGGTTCACTATACTTGGAGGCCCTGTTGACTTAGTATGTCTACTTGGTATCCCCTAGAAGCCCTATTATAATCCCCATAACCCACCTTACTAACCCTACTTACTAAGTCAAAAGGGCCTCCAAGTATAATTCAACCCTCAACCCAAAGGGTCCTAGGTACTGTTATGGGGGATACTTCCCTAAATCATAAAAGTAATTCCTAATATAGAAACCCTGCATTCTACTATAAAGGTACTTTGGGCCCCTTGGGTAAATGAAACCCTAATTCACTGCCCAGAGTAGGCCCCTATTCCCTTTTTTTAGGGTTCAGGTTCCCTTACAAGCCCCTTTAAACCAAAAAGGGCACCCTTTTTATTCCTAGGTTACTCTTGGGCCTAGACAGCCACTGGCAG